TCAATTGATTTCCTGATCTCTTTCGTTTTCTTATGTGGTTGTTTGGCTTCTTTGTTTCTTGTTTCTTGTGCAGTGAGAAAAAAGAGCATCCAATTTACCCAGCATCATATTCATCTCGACGCACTTCTCTTCACCAGCAAAATCATTAGGCTGCCCCTCGTCCCAGAAACGGAAATCAGACGTTACGTCATCAGACCACCTTAAAGAGACAGAAAATATTAAACCTTGTCTACGGGGTTTTGTGCTATTTATCCATTTCGTGAAAAATAAAGCAAAGCTGTCAATTTTCAACTTCGACAACTACGTAACCAAAGTAAGTTTTGATGGCTTCTTTCATTTGCTGTTTAATGATTTTAGCTATGGATACAAGAGCAGTGATCAGTGGCGGGGCCAAGGGTAGTAAGTGGAGAAACTGCTCCCCCCCCTCCGTGGGAACTGCTGCCCCTCTTGCCCTACACCCCCTGGAATATTGGAGGTTTTCGTAGGGAGCTGTCGCCATTTTATTTTTAGTGCCGGAAGGGGGACTCTTGCTTCCCCTTCCCTAACTCCGAAGAGCCTGGCTACGCAATTAGCAGTAATCATCTACAGTTTGGCGATTCCGTGATCACAAGCAAAGATCGTATAGCGTCTAAGATCTTTGATCACAAGTCTAAAGAATGATTCTTTTCTGAGTAATCTACTCACTCGTAAGTGTTGACAGAGGTCTCCCTTAAACCAATCCAGAATCGTGGAGACATTTGTAGACGCTACCGAAAATATACAACAATGAAGAGAATAAAAAGGTTAACGATTACAAAACACATCGTCGTATTAGTACTATAAGGTCATTAACAAAATACTTGCACTAAAAGGTCGTTAATGAAATTTTTAAAACTTGAAATACAAGCAAAGTCCTGGTGAAGATTTGAGAAACAGTCCCCCAAAATGATTTTTATCAATGAAATAATGTGGAACATTATCCGTTCCTTTATAATATTCTTTCATGCTTAGAATAGGGCCCTAAAATTATTTTCAAAATCATCAGTGCTACAGGCCATAACGACCTTATAGTACTGACCCGACGATATAATGAGCGTTCTGAACGAAAATGTCAAACAATAGGTGTTTGGCCGTCTACGATGCCGCCTACTTGATGAGGTTTGCACCCATTTTGCAGAGAACTGCGTCTTCATCTCACACACAATGCTATGAATTAATCCTATGAAAGAACACGCTACAAAAAACGTCCTTTCCCAATTTCAGATATTTCTAACAATGTTCTCTCAGTCAGTTTGTAAACAAGTTGAAATTCTTCAGAGTACTAATGGATATCATTCTGACGTTTTGGAATTGAACATGTTTACAATATTTGCTGAATGCAGTTTTTGAGGTTTTCAAATCTTCCCTAGGTTAAAATGTAACCCAGGCAATTTTTTAGTGCGGTTACGTTTTTGTCGGTTCGGGTCGGTTTGGAGAATTCAGATCGGTTCCAGTTCGGATTCGGTTTATGCCTTATATGTTTCGGTTCAGTTTGGCCTAGTCAACCCAAACCCATGCACATCACTACTTGCTGATCGTCCTTACCATGCTGTTGATGAAGTCTTGCTCCGGTTGGCTGGTGATGGACGCCAGATACCCTCCCTGCCTGTTGCACTGCTGCTGGGCCTCGTTCCAAGTGGCTTGGTGTGTGTTGGGGTCAGACACCAAGTAACAATAGTCGCCGAATAATGCCCAGCCTGGTGTCTCAGAGCACACCGTGGCTGGGGAGGGAAAGAGAGAGGCGAAGGAAGGTCAGGGGCGTCCTCGGTGACGTGTCCGGTTTCATGCCCGTACAGTACACACAGTACATCCTTTTCTTGCCATATTTAAGAAATGGAAAGCGCCGAAAAGTTTAGAAAACGGCACCACCGCGTTTCTTGTTAAACCGATATTCATTTTACACTAGCCTCCACCCCCCCCGACCCAAGACCTGCATACGACACTGGTAGCTGTAAGGCGACACCAGGGGAAGTATGTTATTATTCAACTCGTATTTCCGCCTACCACTGGGGACGAAGACATGGCAAGACATATTGCAATTCTTGGCGATTTTTGTGACTGAAGAATAAATGTTTATACACATATAATCAATGCAGAAGCTTGAATGCTGGTTAATTCAATGAATGCTAAACAATTTATTACAGTGTTCAGTTTTTACCATGAATTATCTTTTCGTCGTTTGTGATTTTTTTGCGACTGACGGTCTCGTATAATTTCGCTGATGACTTCCAATTTGTTAAAACTGAATTTTCTTTGAATTATTTCCAGTTTATTATCCTATGTCCCCCTTTAAATACCTAAGTGCACTCAAAACAAATGTGTGACAGGGTATGAGAACTTGGGGCCTCTGCCAGAACTGGACAGTTTGGACGAAACCAAACTCATTGTGACATAAGGAAGGCAACTGCCTTGGAATTTACTGCCAACAAGATGGACTTACATTGAGGGGGGTCGTCCTCTTGATCTGTGGGAACCAAAAGATTCATAACACGTTCAAACATTCTAGCATTCCAAATACAGGCATGGGTGAATGTATACAAAAGGTGGTGCTTTACTAAATCAAAATCGAAGCATTGATGTGGTTTTTGATATGAAGATTTCATTGTAGCATGGCATCGTGATTGAGTCTCTTTTACAGCGAACGGCGACATTTTCATGCCAAATTGCTTTCTTTGACCCAGAATTTTAGAGCTTTTGACTTTAGTTTGTCGTTTATCTTATTACAGAAACACGGATCCAGTATTTCCATGCGTTGTTCGTATTCACTCACATTGTGGCATCGTGCAGACATGACTAGAGATCAGACTGCAGTCGACAGTCTTCCACAGCCCGTCTGTCCTGATCTCCATCCTCACACATTTCTGTTCGTCATGCACGCCTGGTTCGTCTGGCGCCCAGTTATCATAATTTACAGCCGAGTCGTCTTCCCATCTAAAACTGTTGCGCACTGCTGCCCAAAAAGAAGAAAAGAAATTTCAAGTCTTCTAATTCTCAACAGACGTTACATCACGGCTACTTAACAAGTGACTTACTGCCATAAAATTTTGCTCGCTGCACTGCTACCAGCTTGAAGGGGGTCAGAAAATGAAAACTCTGCCAGATGATTTCCCAACTGCAAAATAGGGCTTCTTAGAAACGGGACAAACTTACTCTTGTAGTCTCTCTCT